ATTTTTCTCTTGGCGTGTTAGTCTTTTTCTCATGGATTTGAAGGAGTTCTGTGTATAACATAGATATGAGTCTTTTGACAAATACCTCCTCTGACTTTGTAGATTGACTTTTTACTCTCTTAATGTGTTTTTGACAAACGTAATTCTTCATTTTAATCTAATTTTGTGATTGTTTTCCTTTATGGTCTATGTTTGTTTGAGTCTATTTAATGAAGCTTGGTTTTTCCAAAGGTCATAGAAATGTCCTCTCATGTTTCCTTCTAAAAGCTTTATTGTTTTACTTCTTGCATTTAGATCTGTTTTCCACCTAGAATTGATTTTCATGTATGGTATATGATGAGGTGAGAATTCAGCATCTTTCCAGCATTATTAGTTGGAAAGGTCATACTTTCCTCTTCTCCATTGCAGTGACACCTTCGTAAACCTGATGACTATCTCTGTGTGGGTCCGTTTGTGGACTCTCTCTGCTCTCTCATCAGACTATTTGTCCTTGCACAAATACTGCACTGCCTTAATTAATGTCCTCTTATAATAAATCTTGATATCAAGTAGTTTAAGTTAAAATCATCCAGACTTTGGGCCATAAACAATCAGGAGATAACTTGATCTGAACTCATAAAACTTAATTTATATGCTAAGTGCATGGGAGACCAGACAAAAAGAGGCCAGAGGTGAACAGATCTCCTAGAAAGTTCTATAATGTTACACTTCATCTGCTGTGGGTGCGGGAAGAAGGAGACATGCATAGTAGTTTCTAACAATAAATTCTTTGATTGAATGAACCATGGGTTTATTCACTGCTTACAGTTGCAATCAGTACCTATATGTTAAAGTTATAACTGACATTGTTAAGTAGGGGGCCTTCCATACCCTTAGTTCAAGATGATGCTTCAGATGTGGATGATGGTGCTACCATAACCAGCGGAGAGCAAGGGGCAGGTGAAACATGCAGTGCCAAGTGGCTCTCAGATTGGCGCAGCCTTAGCAGGTGGTTGGAAATGAGGGACTTCACAGAGAAAGATTGTGAGTTAGTGCCGAGAACTTATGAGTCAGCCAAGGTTCCAAGATCTAACAGCACTGGAGTAAGTGAGCTTGTCAAAGAGAAGAGAACAGAATGAAGAAAAATGGATTGAGATTATAGAAAGAAAAAAAAAAAAGCTTTGGGATACAGGAGGAAGAGGTGCCAGTGGAGAAGCATCATGAGATTCAGAGTCAAAGAAGACAAGAAGACGTTGGCAGGAGGGGTGGCTGGGGTGCCTGGTTATACCTAAATTCCAGAAAGAAAATCACGGGTTGGGAGTTGGCAGAACTGTAGCAGCTCAGAGATTATTTAACACGGGCATAGATTCCATTTCCTGATAGCCGAAGACACGAGAGAATATGATCTGTGTCCATGAAGGTGCACCTTCTGTAGGACAAAGCAAAGTATAAATAAATACACACTTAGCTAGGCTCTAGACTTTGTTCTGTCTGTTTATTTAGGTTTGGCTGAGTACACTTTGGGAAGAAAGGCAAGAAGAACCAGCAGTTTAAAGCACTTACTATGTACTAGACAAGGTGTTTTCATTAACATTGCTGTTTTTTAATCTTAAAACATTAGTGGGAGACAGGAACTGTCACCGACATTCAGAAAGGGAGTTAAGCTAAGAAGCCAAGCAAAGGAAGAACACTAAAGGAGTGAGAGTCTGTTCGGAGCTGGATGCATCTGCTCCTGAAGCCAAGTTCCCATTTTCCCACAGGTCCAAGTGTTTTAGATTCTCTGCCAGACAAAGGAGCTGCCGCAGCATGAAATCCAGGTTCTGCCAAGCTCGGTTACCAACAGGCATGCACAGATGCTGGGCAGTGAACTCAGAAGAAGGAACAGTATGTTCATCCAAACAGCCCTCAAGTTTGCATAAACTCAAGGGAAACTTGCAGAGAGGTCAAAGCTGCATTTGACCTTGTTTACATTTCTTCCACATTAGGCAAGGTCACAGGGTTTGTTCCTGTTTAATACCAATACTTACAGGAATGACTCCAAATTACTGTACTGATGCAAAGCGCCACCCAAAGGGCCTTTACCTGTTGAAGGCCTTGCATGCCTCTGACACTAATTTGAGCCTCTGCAATTGCCATACCCCAGGAACGCTTTCCTGCTTCCTTGGAATGCACTTTACGTGCCCACCGACCCTTGATCAGGCCTTTGGGCTGCTGATTCTCGGCTGGAGCTTGAAGGTAAGAAAATAGCTTAAAAGAAATCCTTAACTTACCGATTTTTTTTTAAATTTTTACTATGGTAATATATGTACTGCTGTATAAATAGAAGTGATTAACTAAAGCCAGAGAGTATTTTAAGGAACCCAAAAAATAGAAGGTATTTGTAACCAATACATACCAACCTAACAGTATAAAGCCTAGAAATTCAGGACCCAGAGGCAAAAACCTCCAAAATCGCTGTCCTGTAATACCATCTCTCCTTCCCACTCAGATCTTCCCCTACATGTTGAGCCTGCAAAGGGGATTGGACCAGGTCCCTGAGCTCCAGCAGGGTTGGACATAAAAACAAGTAATTTTAGGACAGTGGAGTAAGAACTATAAAACCTACATATAAAATGCTACAAGGTCCCGCGAGAAGGCACTCTTTCTGTCCATGGAGTCAGAGACAGCTTCACAAAGGAGGCCATGCATTATATGATCTGACCTGGAGGGATGACAAAGCTTCCAGCTGGTTGCTCAAGTGGAAATTTTTGTGGCTTTGTGCCTGTAAAGGAAAAACTCTTCCTGTGCTCTCCTTCATGTTACTTAGATAGCAAACTTTATACTTCTGTAACCAGATATGGGGTAGAGGGTGGGAGTTCCCACACCAAGCAATCCTCCCATTCTCTGGATACCGGCCATTCAATTCTGACACTATTTACTTGGAGATAGCATCAGATCCCACAGGTTAAAGGCTCAGTGCCACAAGACTGCCCCCCAACCCTGACTTCAGATGTCAATTACAAGTTCAGGTTACAGCATGTGTTTCTGATCAACCGCCTTTACATTGAAGGCTCTCATGACCCCTTTTTTAAATTTGATTAATTTGCTAGAGTGCTTCACAGAACTTGGGAAAACACTTTACTTACTAGATTACTAGACTATTATAAAAGGATATAACTCAGGAACAGCCAGATGGAAGAGATGCACAGGACAATGTATATGGGAAGGAGCACAGAGATTCCATGCTCTCTCCAAGGACACTGCTCTCCCAGCAACTCCACGTATTCATCAACCTGGAAGTTCTCTGAGCCCCATCTTTTTGGGGTACATTTATATTGTAGATTATATTTTTGTTTTCATATATATATATTTGAAAAAATAGAAATACATCAAAATAATAATTCCTAGGTGATGAATTTTTCTTCATACATTTGAGCTTATTCCAAATTTTCTGGTACATATATACACTCACAATAAAAGACAGGAGGGGTAATTTTTTAAAAAAAGAATGTGAAATTTGCAGAAAGACACTGGCTGCAACCCTGGACAAGTTATTGATCATATGACTCCTAGCTTCCTCACATTTATGAGTATAAATTATTCCCTCTTAGTAAAATTGTAATCTGAATTAAAAGAGGGGGAAAAAAGCCTCAAGAGATCTAACATAGAAAGACTGTAAAAAATGTTAATTCTCTCCTCTCTCTTAAAGTTGATCACACAGTAATTTCAGTATCATCCAAACTCCACTTCTTTGACATATTGTCAACACAGTCGCTAATTAACCCTTGAAATTTTTTTTGAAATAGTTCATCTTTCATTTCTGAAAACACACTCTCCATTCTAAGGGACTTGACTCGGTCTAAAAGTAGAAACCACCTCAAAAACAAGCCTCACAATGTGGCACTAACTCCTTCTCACCCACTCCCTGGAAAGGCTGGGCCAGATTCTTTTATTCGACTTCCAGTAAGTATGTACTATTACATCTCCTGTAAGGATCCTTTTAGCTCTAGAGTCATTTTATGCAACACTTAAAATGAGTTTGGACTCTAAGCCCAGCACATGGCTATCTTAATAACCAATTATTCTGGAGTAATATGGCCCACTACTCCTGGCTTCCTCGTTTTGTGCATTTAAAGCAAAAAAACCCAATTCAAAACATGGGCAGAAGATTGAAATGGACACTTCTCCAAAAGAGATATATGAGTGACAATAGGCACATGGAAAGACACTCAGCATCACTAATCATCAGGAAAATGAAAATCAAAACCACAGAGCAATATCATCTCAAACCTATTAGGATGACTATCATAGAAATTTAAAAATTTTTAAAACATGTACTTAATAAATAAAATAAAGTAATAAACAGAAAATAACAAGTGTTGGCAAGGATGTGAAGAAATTAGAACACCTGTGCCTTTCTGGTGGGAATGTTAAAGAGTGTAGGCTGCTGTGGAAAACAGCATGGCAATTTCTCAAAAACTTAAATGTGAAATTACCATATGACCCAGCAATTCCAATACCAAAGAATTGAAAGGCATGTTCATAGCAGCATTACTTACAAAAGCCAAATGTTAGAAGCAAGCCAAGTGTCCATGTATGGATGAATGGACAAACAAAATGTGGCATATACACAGAATGGAACATTATTCAGCCTCAAAAAGGAAGGAAATTCTAACCCATGTTACAACATGGATGAACTCTAAAGAAATAAGTCAATCACAAAAGGACAAATACTGTATGATTCTACTGATTTGAAGGACCTAGAGTAGACAAATTCATAGAGACAGAAAGTAGAAGGGGATGGTAGGAAAGGAGCAATGGAGTGTTAGTGTTTAATGACATAGTTGGGAAGATGGAAAAGTTCTGGACATGGATGTTGGTGATGGCTGTACAACACTGGAAATGTACTTAATGCCACTGAACTGTGTACTTAAAAATGGCTTAAATGGTAAATTTTATGTTATGTGTATTTTACCACAATTGTTTTAAAAGTCCCCTCCATCCTCTGCCTGCTAGGACCCCCCCTCCCATTGCAAGACAGTATGGCCCTGGCTGCAGCATTGGAGGGACAGCTACAACTGAGAGAGGTCTTGGGGATCCCCTTGCAGGCTAGCACTGTGGACAAATGGAGCCAGATCCAGAACTTTGAGGCCAAGCCGGATGATCTTCTCATCTGTACCTATCCTAAATCAGGTGACTCTGGGACCCGGGGAACAACCAGACTTTGGCTTGCAGAGTCAGCAAGGGTTGTTCACATCAGTAAGAATCCCCCTTCATATGGTGTTTGCACTCATTCAAGGAAAGCTGCTCCTTCTCACTGTTCCATGACAAGGCGATCCTGGAATGCTTCGTGTTCCTGGGTTTATCCAGGGTCAAACATAATGGCATTAGAGAACCCAGCCTGCTGTGCTCTGTCATGGACTGCTCTTGGGTGACAGTGTTGTGTGGCTTTGCCTCTGCTGCTCTTTCTCTCCATAAGAGACCTTGTGGGTTTTTCCCGCATGGATGTCCACCTGTTGTGGCTGACAGGATCCTGACCTGAGGGGAGGTTGGACCAAATACCATCAGTCTCTACATTCCCTTTCCTCCCCAGGACACTCAAGACTGATTGGCTAACCAGTTTCTTCTTGTTGTCCTTTCCACTTGGGCCCCAGGCACCACATGGATTCAGGAAATTGTGGACATGATTGAGCAGAATGGAGATGTGGAGAAATGTCAGAGAGCCATCATTCAACACCGCCATCCTTTCATTGAGTGGGCTCGGCCACCCCAGCCCTCTGGTGAGAGCTCCCCACTTCCTACCCTGGCTCCTTTCTCTCTCTTCTTTTAAGAGTTTATTATTTAGAGCAGTGTTGGGCTTACAACAAAGTAGAGGCACAGAATTTCCCACATATGCACAGTCTTCTCTCCCAGATGGTGTATTTGTTACAGTTGATGAGCCTACACAGACCTGTCATAATCACCCAAAGCCCATAGTTCACTCCAGGATTTGCTCTGGATGTTGTATATTCTATGGATTTGGACTAACGTACATGACCTGGATCCAGCACTGTACTATGATACAGAGTAGTTACACTCCCCTAAAAATCCTCTGTGAGCCACTTGTTCACCCTCCCTACTCCTTGACCCCTGACAACCACTGATCTGTTCGCTGTCTCCAGTTTTACCTTTTCCAGAATGTCATATAGTTGAAATCATACAGTATGTGGCCTTTTCAGACTGGCTTCTCTCACTTAGTAATGTGCGTTTCAGTTTCTTCTATGTCTTCTCATGGCTTGAGAGCTCATTTCTTTTCAGTGCTGAATACTATTCTATTGCTTAGATGTGCCATAGTGTATTCATTCACCTACTGAAGGTCCTGGAGGCTCTCCTTCCTTTCTCTTCCTCTCTCTCCTGTCTCTGTCTTATTCTCTCCTCTATTTTGTCTCTTTCCCCCCCCCCATTCTCTCTCTCATTCTCATTTCTATAACCATGTGTTTCCTCCTCTTTTTTCCCTTCCTGATTCTTTCTACATATTACCTAAGGTTATTTGCCGAAAGCAAATCACCAAGTAAAAAGGAATCTGCCTTATTTTCTTCTTAAATGCTCCCTCTGACCATTGCTGCTATACAACACACAGAGAGGTTGGAGAGTTATTTATGGAACAATTCATTCTTTCTTCTCCTCACTCCACCCATACAAATGCTCGGTCCAGCCAAGGAAGTACCAGATAATTAGCAAACATAATGCATTTGCAGCCAACCATTTCTGTTCTGTAGGGAAATTTTTTTAAGGTAATACTCAACCTAGAAATTTTTTTCTTCACTCCAAAAAAAAAAAAAAAAAAAGACAAAAGACAACCAAAATATGAAAGAAGCCATTCCAGCTGCTGGAAGCATTTTTTGGAACAAGGATAAGAGGGAGGCCTACTTCTCTATGTTTCAGCATTGCATAGGTCAGCAGAATAAAAAAAAATTGGAAACTCACCTAGCTAGAGCTACAGAATTATAGACAATACAAGTCTGGTGTTGAAGTCTAACTTGGAGCAATTGTGGACAGAGAAGAGATCTGATAAATCTACCAATGCGTTGAGATAGAGAAATTCTTGATCTGACGTGCATAAGACCTGAAACATGCACAAAAGTGTATCCAGGTTAGAACAGCCCTGAGGCATTTGCTTGTCCTTATGGTTCTACTTACCCTGCTGCTCAGACTCCTCTGGTCCTCAGTTCCTGTCTATCTGATTGACTATTAGCTTATTACTAAGACCAATGCCTGGTCTGATGCCTTCTCTGAACTACCTGTGGGGCTCTGACCCCCCACAAAGGGCACTGTCTGCCTGCTTAACTCTGATCTCACTCTCTGTCGTCAGGGCCTTCCATTTTTGTTGGTGTCTGGTCTTTTGATGCCTTGAGCAGCAGGATTGCATAATGGTTAAAGACAACCAGAGTTTAAGTCCTAATGCCACCACTCACTCAGTGACCTTTAACAAGTTACTTACCCTCTCTGTGTTACAGTTTCCTCAGATGCAAAATGTCAGTAGAATTAGTGCCTACCTCAAAAAGTCGTTGAGAGGATTAAATGAGTTCATGTGTGTAGAAAGCTCAGAGCAGTGCCTGGCACAGAGTGGATCCTATTAAATGTTAGGTATTACTGACCACCTCAAGGGCATAGGTTCCCTGGGTTATCCAAGCCCAGCTTTTGATCTCACGTCTACATCCCACCCCTGCCACCACTGCCTTACTTCTGACAATTTGGGAGATTAAAGAGAGAATGAAAAGTCAAAGCATGATTTCTAGTGAGGGATTCTTGGCAGTGAGGAGCAGAGTGTGCTGTCACTAAATTAGCATAAGAAACAAGAGAGAGCTTCTCTCAAGGCAATGCCAGCAGCTGCAGAATTCAGGAAAGGATGATAACCAATAGCCCAGCATGGCCCATCATATATAAACCAAGATGGTTCTTTAAAACCCAAGGTGCCCCATGTCCAAAAATGTTACAAACAGTTACAGGATTTATGGTCTTTCCAGCCACAAATAGACAGAGGCCAGGTGGAGATCAGCTGGGCAGTGCTTTTATTTCAGGGTAGATGGTCCCTGCCACCGGAAATAAGGGCTATAGACTGATGGGTCTTGGTCAGGTATACCAACCATCCACAGAGGGTTCAGGAGCTAACAGACACTGCTGCCTATTGTGCAAGCTTGTGTCCCACATAGCCTCCCTCCCAGGCCTCCTTCCATACCACCTGCACCAACTTCCAGCTACAAAGCTGTTTGACATCAATAGTATTGCATATGTGATTGCTCACTGAGAGTAGGGCTGGGAAACACCCCAGGGGCACCTGGGTAGTTCAATCAGTTGAGCATCCAACTCTTGATTTTGGCTCCAGTCGAGATCTCAGGGTCTTGAGATCGAACCCACCCCCCAGCTCTGCCATAAGACCTAGCTTGTCCATTCCCAGCTTCCATCTCCTCATCCTCAAAGTGAAAGATTAATATAAGCTCCCTTCCAGCTCTAAAGCTGTGGGAATCTAGAGAACTGATGGTAATCTCTATAATCTCATTATGAAATCCCAAAGGAAAGTCAAGATATAAGGAGAAAGATGTGAGGTGATGGAACATTCGGGACAGAGCCCAGAATGTAACTTCCCCCATGCAATACTTGTACTATGCAGATGTTTCCTCTTGATTTACTTTAAAGGGGTGGAAAAAGCCAAAGCAATGCCTTCTCCACGGATACTAAGGACTCACCTTCCAACTCAGCTGTTACCTCCATCTTTCTGGGAAAAAAACTGCAAGGTAAGACAGCAACAGTTTCCCTTGGGGCTCGCAGTAGACTAGGTCTCCTGGAAGCAAAGCCCCCACTCCCTAACTCACAACAATGTCATCATATTTACTCCTCCACCATCTCTGAAGTGTTGACTGCTGATCAGCAATAAGAGCAGATGTAAAGTTTTCTCTTTACTCTTCAGGATATTTACCTGAATGGTTTTCAAGCAAGACATGGAGGCAAAAGTCAGACTGAATTTTTGGAGAGAACTAGAGATAATGAGTGTCCACGGTGACCCAAGGGTGTGGGTAATTAAGAGTTAGAGCAGAGAAGAAAAACTGAGGGGAAAGAAAAAATTCCTGAAGATCATTTAAAAGGGTAAATAGAAGGAGCTATATTACTTAAGAGGAACATTTGGCCTTAGCTTCTGGTGAACTCTGGGCTCTTAGCTTTATTTACTTGGGGACCTTATTTATTCTGCACTCTAGTACCTAATCAGTCCCTGCCACACAGAGGATGTTCAAAATGTGTTTGCTGAGTGAATAACAAGCGAGCAGCTGTAGAGTGCATGCAGGTGAGGGGAGAAGCTAAGGTGTCGGCCAGCATTGGTAGGAAAGTTTTCTCAAAGTTGGGAATGAAGGGAACAAAGGGCTCAGAAGAGTGTATTTCTAGGGAACAATAGCAATTCTGTGAGTCCTTTCAGTGAAGTTGCATAAGGGAATAAGAACCTCCATTTCTGGATTATGGCCGACTAAGTTCCCTAAAACCTTCTGTATGAAACACCTAGCAATAATACATAACACAAAAAAGTTCCCTTTGTAAATGTGTAACTGAGATCCAGAGAGAGTAAAGGAAATCCCTAAGTTCTACAATAAAGAGGGAGCTGGAACTAGAGAAGAGGCCACTGAGACTAGAGCTGTGCTGCGGTTTATTTGATGACCTGGAGAATCCAGCAGCATGACTTTCAGTGACTGCATGGGGTCAAAGCCCAGAGCAGAAGGAACCAGAAAAGTGAGGAACCGAAGGTGGGACAGCTGAAGGATTTCATCCTCAATGGATAGGGGAAGGGGGCCAAGGCAGACACGAGAAACCTCTTTGCTTGACCTGGGCCCTCAGCTGCCCTGAGAATGTGTGACCATAAGCTTCTACTCTCAAGAAAGGAGAGTCAATGTTGTAATACTTGAATTGTCCAAAAAGCCCCAAGCTAAGAAAGTAGCATAAGGTGGTTACCATTGCCAACATCCCCAGAATGACCCACAGAAACAAACACAGGGAGGACATAGCCTCAGCCTGGGCAGCAGCATTCCCGCTTGAGTTCACCCCCTCACATTATAAAATACGCCAAGGAGCAAGCCAGCACAAGAAAGAGAGTTGCAAAAAGCGCAACCAGCAGGGTTATACCTCAAGGATTTCGGATATTAAATGATCAGATATAGAAACAAAAGAAGAATGTTGAAGTTGTGTAAGTAAATGAAATACTAAATCAAAAATTTTAAAAGGACACTATTTTTAAAATGGAATTTCTTATTATATTAAACAAATAAGATTTCTGTAACTGAAACAAGATATAAGCATTTGCTATAAAAATTCAGCAACAGGGGACGCCTGGGTGGCTCAGTTGGTTAAGCAGCTGCCTTCGGCTCAGGTCATGATCCTAGCGTCCTGGGATTGAGTCCCACATCGGGCTCCTTGCTCGGCGGGGAGCCTGCTTCTCCCTCTGCCTCTGCCTGCCATTCTGTCTGCCTGTGCTCGCTCGCTCTCTCTCCCTCTCTGACAAATAAATAAAATCTAAAAAAAACAAAAACAAAAAACAAAAACAAAAATTCAGCAACAGGTCTCTGGTTTGCCAACCCTCGGGTGGCTCTCCCCAGGGGATGGGGGAGGACATGGTGCACACTGGGGCCTCAAAGGCACCAGGGTACTGGGGCAGGTTAGAAAATTTCATGGGTGGCAGCTGGGTGGCCATGGCGGCAGAAAGCCCACCATGGTTGAGGGAGGAGGTGCCCCGTACCACTTCATCTCCCTGCTTGCTACTTGGTCTGCTGGCCTAGGGCAGGGCTTCCACTCCTCCCGAGCTGCACCTGCAGGACTCCCCCCCCCAGAAGCGAAGGCTTCTCTCCCTCCTGCTGTCCCCAGGCTTGTGGACGTCAGCTTCATCACCACGGTCTCTGCTTTGGCATGCAAAGCACCAATCTTAGGAATATCGTGTTCCTTGCACCTAAAACTACCACCACAAAACTGGAGGTAGAAACCAAGCCCTGACAATGGAATTTCATTTTGGTGTTTGTGGGATGTGAGGTTGCCATGAAAACAGCTACTGTTGCCATCTATTGTCATGAATCTTTCACAAAATGTGTTATTGATCACCTGTGGCTATTTCACATCAATTTCTTTGTTTCTTTCTTTTTAGCCCTTTCAATTTCTAAGGAAAAAAAAGAATTAAAAAAAAATCCACTCCCACACAAAAATTCAACGAAGTGCAGAATAAACACAGTAGAAGAGAGAATTAATGAACTTGCAGGGGGAAATGGGATGGAGTTTTGAGGAGAGAAAGAAGTGTCTTATGGCTGGAGGGGAGAAACATGAGAGGAAAGATTAATAAAATGATTACCAAGCAGTGATGGGCCCCTCACAACTGGGAAGCACCAGGGTCGTTCAGGAGGCAGAGGCGGTAAGGGTAAATTGTGGGCAAGAGCCTTTTTTGTAGTTTCCAAGGGAGGGAATGGGTGAGACAGGTAATCAGGTTTAGGATTGGGTAGTTTGGATGATTTCTGCAGGTTCCAGGGCATAGATGGCTGTGGTCCTGGCTCTGGGGTAAATAGAGCAAGTGGACAGTGGCCCAATAAGGGAGGTGTAGGCTCAGGATTGGTTGGCTTGCTTGTAAAAAGTGAGCTTGATAGTGAGTTGTTAGTACCTGTAGTAATCAGCTAAAACTGGTAGGGGTCTGCAAGGCAATAGCAAGATAAGCAATGGTTCCGATTCAAAACATCAGAATACAGAAAATGGCACTATTGACATTTTGGACCAGATAATTCCTTTGGTGGGTGGGATGGGGCAAGGGGCTGTCCTGAGTATTGTACAATGTTGAGCAGCACCCCTGCCCTTTATTCATTAGATACCAGTAGCACTGTCACCCCAGTTGTAAAAGCAAAAACACTTCCAGGCATTGCCAAATAACCCCTTGTATGCAAAATCATTCTCAATTGAGAACTGTTTTAGGGTTTAAAAAAAAACTAGCATCCTATGAAATGACTAGTCATGGATGTGAGGTAGCTACTCAATGAGGCCAGCTCAGGATTCATGCTGTCAGAAAGGGAGTCAAGTACTTAGCAGTCATGATGAGATTAAAGGTGAAATTGGGATAAAGGGAAAAGCTGGGAAGGTAAAAGGATACAAGGTTGTTGTCAAAATGAAACCTAAACAGGATGCTTTGAAGTTGATGAAAATAATAATAGAGTTGATGAGAACGGGGAGCGGGGGGGGGGAATGAGACCATGAAGCCGTCCTGCTTTTCCAGGAAATGGACAGGAAGGTTTTAGGAGGATCATCAGCATGCATGTGGAAGTTTCTGTCTGATGCCATCGTTGCTAGAGAACGGTGGGAGCCTGAAAACTAAAGGGGCAATCAGGAGTCAGGCTATGTACTAGGACTGAGCTTGAATTAAAGAGGAGAATCAGCAGAACAGCAGGACAGCCAGAGGAAGAGGGGGTCACCAGCCAAGTCGAACTGCTGGCAAAGGAGAGCAGAGCCAAGTGTGCAAAGCTGCTCTTGTCATGAAATTCACCTGAGTGAATTCTGTGAAAATTCACTTTTCTTACTATCTTTTGCCCACCTCTCTCCGTACCCCAAAGTTCCTTTATGTAGCTCAAAATGTCAAAGACTGCATGGTTTCCTATTACCATTTCCAAAGGATGAATCAAATTCTTCCTGACCCTGGTACCTGGGAAGAGTATTTTGAAACCTTCATAAGCGGAAAAGGTAAAGAATAGTCCTTCACATCTTTGCTTGCCCGCTCTAGGTAATTTCAGTTTAGGAATCAAGCATAACATTTTGGCCCCTTAGAAGGTTGTGTTCCTCCTTAAGTGTGTCCTACCTCAGACTGGGACTGGGAAGAGTAGGCTGACTGAGCTCAGAGTGAATACCCACGATCCCAGCAAACATCCTTCACCCGATGTGAAAGCCTTTATTCTGGGTCACTTGACCTGTACAGTCACCTGCATTCCAAAGGGTATCCTTGTCCCAATATTTTTTATATACACAATATATACACAATTTATTATAGACATTAAATATGAAGCCACTTTAGGTAAATTAGATAAATTACTCCAAGGCTGTATAGTACCACATCACCCTCCAACTCAAACACATCAGGACTCTCTCTAAAAACAAACAAACAAACCAAAACAGGCACTTCTTTTCACACCAGGAGAACCATGATGTGCTACTGCTTTGCAACTTGTCTTCTTTTTTTATTAGTTTATTTTGTTACATTTTATTTTATTTTTATTTATTTGAGAGAGAGGGAGAATACAGAAGGAGAGGCAGACTCTCCACTGAGCAGAAAGGCTGAAGCAGGGCTCAATCCCTGGACCCTAGACACTTAACCCACTGAGTCACCCAGGTGCCCCCCACCTTTTTAAAAATATTTTATTTATTTATTTGAGGGTGGGGAGAGCACAGAGGGAGAAGCATTTTGTTGCATTTTAGAATCTACAACAGCATCCATGCTAGCGAAGCAAACCAAACAATACCATTTCTTTCCTCTTCAGATAATCAATAGCAATGATTTCACAAGAAGCCCTTCTTTAGATCCATACATATCTTTCTATATACCCTCATTCCCTCAGGTACATACATGTGCAAACAAAGATATATACCATGATGATGGCTAAATGTGGTCATAATATACACCTTCATTTACCAGAATATCAGATATCCCTCCAGGGCAAGTCATGTAGGTCCATGTAGCCCACTATTTTTAATGGTCTCATGTTGTACCAGAGTATGGATAGATGCATCATAACTCCTTCAACTATTCCCCTAGTGAAGGGCACTACTATTACTTTTTATTATCTTTTTGAATAATGCTACAATAAACATCTTTCTATGTGTGTTCTTATGTCCCAATGCTTTTATTTCTGTTGCACAACTTTCCAGATGAGGCAAAGGGAGGACAGAGTATTTTCTTTTTTTAACATTTTAATAGTTACTGCTTAGTGAAAAAGCTCATACATATACGGTAATATCTCATTCACATTTTCCCAAAAGGTTTTTTTTGTTGTTGAGATGTAACTAACGTACCAAAATAGGCACAGCTTTGAAGTAAGTATACAGTGAATGTGTTGAAAAACTTATGCACCCATATAACCAGCACCCCAATCAAGATATGAAACATTCCCATGTCTCAAAAGTTCCTTCTTGAGGAGATTCAACATGGCGGAGGAGTAGCAGACTGAGATGACATAACGTCACAGGAGTTCAGCTAGATAGTTATCAAACCATTCCAAACACCTACAAACCCAACAGTAGGTCAAAGAGCAGAAGATCAGCAATTCTGGAAACAGAAAATCGACCACTTTCTGAAAGGTAGAACATGTGGAAAAGTGAATCCAAAGCCATGGAAGAGATACTGCGGGGGAAGGGGCCAGTTCCTGGCAAGCAGTGGAGCAATGGAGCACAAAACCAAACTTTTAGAAGTATGCTTCACTGAGGGCCATTGCTCCAGAGGCTAAGTGCAGGTGGAGCCCTCATGGGGACAGTGTGGTCTCAGGTCCCACGGGGTCACAGAAGAATCAGGGGTGTCTGAGTGTGGCAGAGCTCCCAGGTATCAGAGTGCAGAAGCTGGCTGCAGAGACCAAGCCAAGGAGTGAGCTCTTAGCTTGGGTTACCTTAAATTGTGATCCGTCAGGCCAATGCTCTTTGAGCAGGGACCCCTGCTCAAAGTGGCATATCCAGGAAGATCCACCTTCCGCCACTGGAGGAGCAGTGTGGCAGGAATCTGCTGGGTTTGGAGATTCCAAACGTGGCCATGTGCCAGAGACAGAACGCTCAGTCACAGGCCAGGTGAGCTCGGAGAACAGCCGGAGACCAGGGAGATAGGAGTGATTGACTGCTTTTCTCCAAGGGCACACGGAGGAGTGAGGCCCCAAGCTCTCAGCTCCTCTGGGCTAGAGACTGGGAGGGCCACCAATTTCATTCTTGTCCTCCAGAGCTCTACAAAAAGCATTCAGGGAACAAAACTTCCAAATGTGAACCTGAGCAGATTACTTAGCCTGGCCCCTGGCAAGAGCAGTGCAAATCCACCCCAGGCAAAGGCATTTGAGAATCACTACAAAAAGCCCCTCCCCCAGAAGGTCAGCAAGAATATACAGCTGAGACCAAGCTCACTGATCAAGAAGAACAGTGGAATTCCAGAGGAGGGGAAGGGAAAGCATGGAATTCATGGCTTTTTCCCCATGTTTCATTAGTCTTGCAAAGTTAATTAAATTTTTTTAATTTTATTTTTTCTTATTCTAATTTTTTAACTTTTCCTCTTTCCTCTTTTAACGTTTTTTAACTAGTTTATCTTAACAATACCTTTCTTAAAAAAGTCTTTTTAAACTTTCATTATTATAGTCATATTTTGTCATTCATTGTATCTAACTTTATTTTTTGTGTACATATAAGGTTTTTTTCCCTCTAAAAATTTTTGGGAAACAATTTCCTCTAATAAATCAAAATATACCCTAATCTTGCAAAGGGCTCTGTTCTAGTCTCCAGCCTGAGCAAATCCTCTCCACTTTCTTTTCTTGCTTTTTCCAACCAAATTATCATACCAATTACATTTTTAGAATTTTTTTTAATTTTCATCTTTACAGTCATATTCCATCCCTTCATCATATTTACCCTTATTTTGTGTACATATATAAGTTTTTCTTTCTTTAAAATTGTGGGAGGTAGTTTCTTCTAAGAGACCAAAATACACCAAAAATCAAATGGGTGACTCTGTTCTAATCACCAGTCTAATAGATATATATTTTTTAATTTTTTTTATTTAATTTTATTTTATTTTATTTTATTTTAAACATATATTTTTATCCCCAGGGGTACAGGTCTGTGAATTGCCAGGTTTACACACTTCACAGCACTCACCATAGCACATACCCTCCCCGATGTCCATAACCCCACCCCACCTCCTGAAGCCCCTCCCCCCATCAACCATCAGTTTGTTTTGTGAGATTGAGAGTCACTTATGGTTTGTCTCCCTCCCAATCCCATCTTGTTTCATTTACTCTTCTCCTACCCCCTTAACCCCCCATGTTGCATCTGCTCTCCCTCATATCAGGGAGATCATATGATAGTTGTCTTTCTCCGATTGACTTATTTCACTAAGCATGATAGCCTCTAGTTCCATCCACGTTGTCGCAAATGGCAAGATTTCATTTCTTTTGATGGCTGCATAGTATTCCATTGTGTATATATACCACATCTTCTCTATCCATTCATCTGTGGATGGACATCTAGGTTCTTTCCATAGTTTGGCTATTGTAGACATTGCTGCTATAAACAGTCGGGAGCACGTGCCCCTTCGGATCACTACGTTTGTATCTTTAGGGTAAATACCCAGTATTGCAATTGCTGGGTCATAGGGTAGTTCTATTTTCAACATTTTGAGGAACCTCCATGATGTTTTCCAGAGTGGTTGCACCAGCTTGCATTCCCACCAACAGTGTAGAAGGGTTCCACTTTCTCCGCATCCTCACCAGCATCTGTCATTTCCTGACTTGTTCATTTTAGCCATTCTGACTGGTGTGAGGTGATATCTCATTGTGGTTTTGATTTGTATTTCCCTGATGCCAAGTGATGTGGAGCACTTTTTCATGTGTCCGTTGGCCATCTGAATGTCTTCTTTGCAGAAATGTCTGTTCATGTCCTCTGCCCATTTCTTGATTGGATTATTTGTTCTTTGGGTGTTGAGTTTGCTAAGTTCTTTATAGATTTTGGACACTAGCCCTTTATCTGATATGTCGTTTGCAAATATCTTCTCCCATTCTGTCAGTTGTCTTTTGGTTTTGTTAACTGTTTCCTTTGCTGTGCAAAAGCTTTTGATCTTGATAAAATCCCAATAGTTCATTTTTGCCCTTGCTTCCCTTGCCTTTGGCAATGTTCCTAGGAAGATGTTGCTGCGGCTGAGGTCGAAGAGGTTGCTGCCTGTGTTCTCCTCAAGGATTTTGATGGATTCCTTTCTCACACTGAGATCCTTCATCCATTTTGAGTCTATTTTCGTGTGTGGTGTAAGGAAATGATCCAATTTCATTTTTCTGCATGTGGCTGTCCAATTTCCCCAACACCATTTATTGAAGAGGCTGTCTTTTTTCCATTGGACATTCTTTCCTGCTTTGTCGAAGATTAGTTGACCATAGAGTTGAGGGTCTATTTCTGGGCTCTCTATTCTGTTCCATTGATCTATGTGTCTGTTTTTGTGCCAGTACCATGCTGTCTTGATGATGACATCTTTGGAATAGAGTTTGAAGTCTGGAATTGTGATGCCACCGACTTTGGCTTTCTTTTTCAATATTCCTTTGGCTATTCGAAGTCTCTTCTGGTTCCATATAAATTTTAGGATTATTTGTTCCATTTCTTTGAAAAAAAATCGATGGTACTTTGATAGGAATTGCATTAAATGTGTAGATTGCTTTAGGTAGCATAGACATTTTCACAATATTTATTCTTCCAATCCAGGAGCATGGAACATTTTTCCATTTCTTTGTGTCTTCCTCAATTTCTTTCATGAGTACTTTATAGTTTTCTGTGTATAGATTCTTAGCCTCTTTGGTTAGGTTTATTCCTAGGTATCTTATACTTTTGGGTGCAATTGTAAATGGGATTGACTCCTTAATTTCTCTTTCTTCTGTCTTGTCGTTGGTGTAGAGAAATGCAACTGATTTCTGTGCATTGATTTTATATCCTGACACTTTACTGAATTCCTGTACAAGTTT